CAGGGATTTGAACCCTTGACCTCAGCCTTGTCTCTTATCTCGAGACCTCCTATCTTTTGCAGTCTATCTACTGCAGCTAGGTACTGAAACTCAGTATATCACACCATGTTGGCTAAAACAGCCAGTCTGGTCCTCAAAAATGTGACAAGCTGGTTCTGACCCAGCTTCCGGTATATCCTATCTAATTTGTCACTCCTGAAGACCACTTTTAATCCATATATACCTGGATTTTCCACAAGTACTTTGTTAGTCCCAACAGTACTTCATTAGTTCTTACACGCGCACGTGAATTCCCAACAATCACGCGAAGGCCCACACGGAGGCCCACGCGGAAATCAGACATCACGCAAAGGCCCACACGGAGGCCCACGCGGAATTCAGACGTCATGCGAAGTCTAGTACACCAATCAAAACTTCATGCACGCCATGAGAGTTTGAATGGAAGACTGAAAGATTACAGGATTCTTTCAGATGTCTTTCGGCATACCGGTAATTCGGACGACCATGTCTTTGCCTTTGAAGCTGTAATCGTCATTGTCCAATATGCAATGGATAATGGTCATCCTATCTTTGATGGAAGATCCTTTATGACAAGTGAAGCAAACAATGGTAACGATCTCGACATTCCAACACTGACTAGTCGAAAAGAAACAATTGTTGATATCTAATTATATAGCAATTCCACCTTTTGAATGACCTTGAAAATTTCAAAGACTGTGATTGGTACACACAGACATTGATGGACGCCACCTTTTCTACACATTTCTGGTACTTACGCAAATAGTGATTTCCGCGTGGGCCTTCGCGTGGACATTCGCGTGATGTCTGATTTCCGCGTGGGCCTTCGCGTGGGCCTTCGCGTGATGTCTGATTTCCGCGTGGGCCTTCAAGTGGACAGTCGCGTGATGTCTGATTTCCGCGTGGGCCTTCGCGTGATGTCTGATCTCCGACTGGGCCCTATTATTTGTTATTGCCGGAAAATATTTATTTAACGTTTTAGGAATAAAAATGATTTCAATGAATCACAGAAAGTTGTAAAATCCATGACGTTAAGTAATTCAATGTCCACGCGAGTTGAGCAAGGCCAAACCCCTGCTACGGGGATGGCGAATTCCGCGCGTCAACCATTTTCCGTGTAAATCACGCGCTTCTGCGGGGTATCCCTGGAGTATTTGAAAATCAAATACTATCTCTAAAGTAACCCGGAAACTAAGGCATATCAGCCAATCAAAACTAAGGTGTCGCTTACAAACTAAGCAAATGTGGAGGGAAAACCTTAAGCCAATGACAATCTTTTTCTTTCCAACAATTAACCCTTTTACGAACACAAATAGAATCCGAGAAAAACTCGGATTCTATTCTGGTACTTTCTACATACGTGAGTGAATATTCTGGTCAAATTTGGGAAAGAAAATTAATTGAATCCGAGTTTTTCTCGGATTCTATTTCAATAGAGCGCCTGCCAGGCAAAGCCGTTAAGTTAATAGAATCCGAGAAAAACTTGGATTCTATATCAGATGAATTTCAGATCAATTCTCATCAATATTGCGCACCATCATTATATAACATACATGTCATATATAATTTTCAAATATTTTAGCTCTTTTGAAACTCTCACGGTCTGTGCAACCAAAGGTGCGCCATATTAGTCCCCCAATTTATACTTCATCATGTGTTGAATTTTGATGTCATCATGCGATGGAGCTGTGTCTTGCAGTTGTGATAATGATTGTTAAGAATCAGGATACCTCAAGGAAACATAGTTCTTCTGACGGGTCTTTCTAGCAGGGTCATGAAGGATGCTGCCAATGAATTGCGGAAACTTGGTATCTGTGCCTGCCAAACCAGATGTACCAACCGTTCACAAAGGGAACTTGATTCATGTCCGAAATGTCAACTACCCAAACATGCAACATGTGGCATCAAAGTTCCTAAAGATAATGGGGAGATTGTCTACTGGTGTTTCGAATGCAAGGAGGGTCCAAGCTTGACACGCCCTTCTAGAGTGAGAAAGAAGAGAATTAGAGGGCAAGAAGAAGCTGACCAGGAAGAGGGGATAAAGGTCAATAAGGCAAAGAAGAAACCTCATCGTTTACACTATAAACTCCCTGTAAAGCAAACTGAAGCTACCAGACAAGATGATTCCTCAGAAGAACAATTGGAAGAATCTTCCAATGTCAAGAAGATGCCTAACCAATCAGCCAAGAAGACGCCAACTTCTCAAACTAAGAAGAAGTCAAATGTCCCGCTGTATGAACCTAGGTTGATGTCAACTGAAGCAAGTGAGCCTGATGATGAAGAGGATTCCTCAGAAGAAGAAATAAAAAATAGGTCCAGGGCCAGGTCTTATCCTCCAAGACGTGTGCTTGCCACATCTAGTGACACTAGTGAAGACAATAGCCAATCTATTGACAAAATTGATGTCCAACGTAGTTATAGAAATAACAAAAGTGAAGAGGAAGGTCCACAGAGTGACACAAGTGACCAAATTGAAGAGGAAGACCAACCCAATTCTGCAGCTGGTAGTAAATGCAAGAATGAAAGTGATGTGGTTTCTGGAAAGTACCAATGTCGAGTATGTGACCTGGCCATGCATCAAGATTGTGGAGATAAATGCCCATGTCCCGATCCCAAAGGCAGATGTGACGTTAGATATGGAAGCATATGCCTAAAGTGTTTGTCTATGAAGTGTGCAGCTGAAGGTTTGTGCAAACGCCAGGGATGGGTGTTGGACTTCCTTGTCATTAGTCATTTTCTATTCTACCTTTATTGAATAAAGCAATCATTACATTGGACCAATATGGTGGAAGCATAAGCACCATGATTGTATCCACAAGACCATCAAATGGAACATGCAAACCTATGGATGAATTCCAGTTCCACTAATCAGAGTTGCCCAGGTGATGACCAATCCCTCACTGCTGCTTCTCTATCCATTGGGACAATGATTCTATTTGACCTATACCTTGGAGGAGGAATAGGTAAGCATGGCAGTCGAACAAAATCCTTGACCACAAAGAAGCACCTGCTGGAACTCCTAAATGCATCCAACAATTTCAGTTCTACTCATCAGATTTACTTCCCTCCATCATGTCTCAATCACTCACTGTCTCCGTGTATTCATTGAACTAGTCATTATATTTGATCCAGAGTGTGGAAGCACATAGTATGCATGACAAGCCAACAAAAAAGAAAACAAACATCCACTGAAAATAATAATCTCACAATCATAAACTCATCAATCAATTTCAGACTGCATATCAGATTTGCCCCCATCATGACCCAACCGCTCACCATTATCCATGAAACCATTTGAGTAATCATAGTAGTGGTACTATATTAGAGAATGATATGATAAGCACAGAGCAATGGAAAACAAAAATAAAATCATAAACAGAAACTCACCAACTTGTCCATAGATTCAAGTTCTACTCATCAGAATTGCCTTGACCATAATCCAATCGGTCACCAATATGTATTCGTTGATTGGAACAATGATCATATTGGACCTATATAGCGGAGGCACATGGTAAGCATGACGATCGATGGAAACTCTGCAACAAACATCAGCTGGAACTCACCACTTGTCCATTAATTCAAGTTCTACACATCAGAATTGCCTCCGCCATACTCCCATCGCTCACCACTACTCATCAGAAATGCTTCGGCCATGACCCAATCGCTCACCAGTATGTATTGGTTGATGGGAACAATCATTATATTGGGTCTATATGGTGGAAGCACATTGTAAGCATGACGATCGATCGAAATTCCACAACAAGCATCAGCTAGATCTCACCAACTTGCCCATCAATTCAAGTTCTACTCATCAGAATTGCCTCAGCCATGACCCAATCGCTCACCAGTATGTATTGGTTGATGGGAACAATCATTATATTGGATCTATATGGTGGAAGCACATTGTAAGCATGACGATCGATCGAAATTCCACAACAAGCATCAGCTAGAACTCACCAACTTGCCCATCAATTCAAGCTCTACTCCTCAGAAATGCTTCGGTCATGACCCAATCGCTCACCAGTATATATTGGTTGATGGGAACAATCAATATATTGGGTCTATATGGTGGAAGCACATTGTAAGCATGACGATCGATCGAAATTCCACAACAAGCATCAGCTAGAACTCACCAACTTGCCCATCAATTCAAGTTCTACACATCAGAATTGCCTCGACCATGACCCAATCGCTCACCAGTATGTATTGATGGATGGGAACAATCATTATATTGGGTCTATATGGTGGAAGCACATTGTAAGCATGACGATCGATCGAAATTCCACAACAAGCATCATCTAGAACTCACCAACTTGTCCATCAATGCAAGTTCTACTCATCAGAATTGCCTCGACCATGACCCAATCGCTCACCATAACATAGATATTGATTGGAACAATCAATATATTGGACCTATGTGGTGGAAGCACATTGTAAGCATGATGATTGATCGAAATTCAACGACAAGCATCAGCTGGAACTCACCAACTTGTCCATCAATTCAAGTTCTACTCATCAGAAATGCTTCGGCCATGACCCAATCGCTCACCAGTATGTATTGGTTGATGGGAACAATCATTATATTGGGTCTATATGGTGGAAGCACATTGTAAGCATGACTATCGATCGAAATTCCACAACAAGCATCAGCTAGAACTCACCAACTTGCCCATCAATTCAAGTTCTACTCATCAGAATTGCCTCAGCCATGACCAAATCGCTCACCAGTATGTATTGGTTGATGGGAACAATCAATATATTGGACCTATGTGGTGGAAGCACATTGTAAGCATGACGATCGATCGAAATTCCACAACAAGCATCAGCTAGAACTCACCAACTTGCTCATCAATTCAAGTTCTACTCATCAGAATTGCCTCGGCCATGACCCAATCGCTCACCATAACATAGATATTGATTGGAACAATCAATATATTGGACCTATATGGTGGAAGCACATTGTAAGCATGATGATTGATCAAAATTCCATGACAAGTGAAATTGAATTCAAACATGAGTTGAAAATGTGATAAGGCATCCATCAATTCTCGCCTTTCCTAGGTCTTTGCTGATTGTAGAATGTTCAACGGCAGTATGGAACTTGATCA